AGTGATTGTATAGTTCCGAGTCCGACGATGTAACGGACCGCGCAGCCAATTTCGAAGGCCCCGCCAGTTACAGCAGTCAGATGTATAATGCTACCATAGAACACAGAAAATGAAGAAGTTAGGGATATGGTGGTAGGATTCGAACTCACGTCCTCCGGAGTGATAACTGTGAGCTTGGCATTTCGCTTTTTGATGATATGAATTGGTTAGTTCTCTCTTCTGTACGCATTGTCACACCATAACCTCTGGTGTCCAACGGCTTGATTCTCTTACCTCATTGGACACAAAACTCTCTCAGAAAAGGAACAAAATAAAGGGGTTTTATTATTTAAGGTGCGTTTGAGTTCGCCCGTCATGTTGCAAAAGGAACGAAATACTTAGCTGCTGTGTGTCAGATTCCAGCAGCCAATGATGTAGAAACTGCATTCAACCACTGTATAGGGTCCCAGCTGTGCGTCTATAACAACTGCGTGTTTGATGATAACGGTGACTGTAGCCATCAAGTTGTATTTGGTAGCTCTAACTCTACCTTAGAAAGCGAGTGTAAGCTTCGGAGACCAAATGACCCACAGATGACACCATTCCACCCACCAGCTAAGTAGGTCTTCGTGACCACGAGGTCCTCCCCGTCTACAGTTCATCACACACTGATATGTAATAAAAAAATCCGCAGCTGTGTGCAGCACATGTATACGCAACTTTTATGTTCTGTTCCTCCTTCGTATCATCGGCGAATGGTGATCATGTTCGCTCGTGAAAACAGTCATCGAAATTTTCCGTATCTTTGCTTTCACTACGCTCGTTCAATAGTTTCGTATGTTCGTGTTATAATTTATTTGTTGAATTTTGGATTCATTCATTTTCAAAGGAAATTGGTTAAAGACATTGAGTATTAAGGTACGTGGCTAAAAATACCCAAGAGTCATTATTAATGTTTAATGTACGCCACAATACCCCGGACCAAACCTTCCACGAAAATCTGCAGTGAATTATAAATAGTTTCAACATAAATATGTTTTATCAACATTCAATAACGAAGCACGTAACAAAATAATACGGATTCACCGTGCATCGGGAAATAGTCACAGCCCTTGGTAACCATCAATTAATATTCATCGTTCCTACTGTTACTATTTAGTCTCTCCTCTCGATTTTCTTGTCAATACTTTTAAAAAATCCATGATCGCGCAATGTTTAATTTGTTTTTAAACTTTGAGTTTCATCCTTGCTAGAATGCAATAACTAGCGGGGAATAATGAGTTTGTTGCGTATGTGTTGCGTGCACGTTTTTTTTGGTGTTCCGTTGTACTAGGTAACATACATGTAAAGCTTGACATGGGTTCATTTCTTGAAACAACGCACGCATTGTCCCCATCTGTAAACCCTTGCAACTACTTCTCCCCAAGGAATGTTTCATTCTACATACGGATTATCAAATAAACATGTAGAATTCCAAATTAAACAAAGCTCAGTGAACCAGAACGCTATCTGTGTTGCTTTAATGTTTCAGGTGGATCATTTAAAATCACTATTGGCAGCGGAATCTGGCAATTTCGCTTCAACTGTTCACGCTTTGGAGGAACGTCATAGAATCGCACAGTTGAGTCTCACGAAGGAGCTCTCATCAACTCGTCAAGCGTTAGCGACCATGGTGCAACAGTACGCCTACACCAAGCAGATATTTGAGAAAGCAGAGTCTCAGTTGCATCAGTTAAAACAACGGGATACAAACAATCGCCGGATTGTCGATCGTTTGATGTGCCACTTGACTCAACTGTGCAGCGAGAGGCAGATCTTATCTGATCGCCTAGGCGAACTAGAATCTCGTCTGGCTTGGTCAATTCCCACGAGTTCTCGTCCTCTTCCAATGCACTTCGATTTCCAACAACTGGATCTGATGAATACGAATGCTCCTATTGAACCCACTCGGATAGATCGTGTGGCAAATTTATTCAATAGATTATCTGCATTGGAATGCCAAATCGACCAACTGCAACGAACCGCTCAAGCACTGTCTGCCTGCTCGTCCATCTTCCAGACCCGAGAGTTAGGGGTAAATCCCCCAATCCAAACTCTACCGAATTCCTGCTGTATGTAATTCATTTAGCGGTATCCTGAATAATAGTAGTATATATTCAGTGTGCTCACGGACCCTGGCTCCAGTGTAATTACATGCAATATGATGGGAACATGTTTACTCCAAATAGCCATTCGCCAACGATGCGGTCTGTCAGTCGTGCAACCCAGGGGCTTATCTTCGCGGTTCGATTCCGGATACGAACGAAGATAGCGCGCATGACTGACGGGTCCAGAACAGAACGAAACAACTAGTCCACACACACGCAAAGCAATGACCAGTAGTCGTAGACGTAACAAGCAGCATGGCATCCAGTGTTATGTGATTGCTTTTGGCATTCAATTGATTATAATCATACGGGTTGGCAGACTCACAGACTTGAAACAAAAGCCAACAGGAAATCCCATTTTATCACTACGAGGGTTTTAATATTCCTTAAAATGAGTTTAAAGGTATCAGTGAAATCAGTAAACCTTTATCATTCTGTGCTAGACAATAAAGTTTCTTTTCACTGTTGTGTCTAGGTCTGTTAGTGAATTACTGTCATTCGACTCGGTCCTACATGGCGCTAAGTGGGCTTCGTGGGCAAATCTGTGAGGATTGTTTTGAGTATGGTACAGAGTGCTATCCATAGTTTCACCAGATCCTTTTTTCGATAAGGCGTTCCTAGCACTTGCGCGACCAAGTACTGGCTATAGAACAGCAAAGAGATAATAATGACTTTTATTCATTGGCGTTTTAAGTTCTCACACATCACGATGCCTTCTGTTCACATCTGTCGCGTTGTAGAAGATCGATTGCCATGAAAAGTGCCCTTCCGTCGGACGACGCCATTGATTTTTCGCGCCCGTTTGTTCAGTGAAGTAATCTCCACGATGAATTATCCGATGAGCCATTCCCCCGTCTGCGTCCTGGGGACGACAGGGGTACCGTAGAGATTATTTTCCTGGGAGCCAGTTTGTCCGAAAACGGACTTTCATGTCAGCAGAGCTATGGTAGAGAGTTCAATGTGCAGTAGTTGGTGGACTCTAGTTCTGATGATTCCCCGATCACCCACAATTTGTGGTGGTAGATAGCCTGGCCTTATAGTACACATTACACAGGCTTTTTGGGATTCCTTTCACCAGATTCCAAACCTCAAGCTATCGGCTCCCATGTCCCCGTTGCAGGTTTTTTTTTACATCGGATGCATTCTCTCCATTCGTTTCGTGCATTCTCTGAATTTCGGCCCTGCCTTGCTACCAGCGCATACTGTTTCGCGAAATTGCAATAAAAAATACGTTGAATTTTGAAAGTCTAGTATTATCCTGCATTTAGACATTTTTAATACCTGTGTTTTATTGTTTGGGATCGTCAGTTTCTGACTTTACCGTTCTATGAGAAACCGACGCCAACGATTGACGAGGAATGTTCCAGTACACTAAACAAAATATTACTATCGTTTGCGTATTGCTCTTGGGTGGCGTTCCGTTGATAAAATGACCCTCCCCCTGTTATTTCTAGTAAAATCCACTTTAAATTCCAGAATATGCCCATTTTGACATGGGAACACATATTCAGAGGCGAACAATTGTTTTCATTGATTCATCATTTAGCCTGTACAGATCAAATAAGGAAATGGCATGTTAAATGGGGAGAGTCATTCACTCATTTAAAAGTCACGCTGATTGATAGCCGAAGTCATGTCCGCGCCTACGACACTTTTTCGTCTGAGTTCACCACGGAAAGTAGTGTTCGTCAAGGTTGCCCTCTTTCTCCTTTTCTATTCAACTTTGTCGTAGATTTGATTATGGAAACAGCCCTATCCCCGTGCGAGGATAGTGGCATCGATTTATTCCCGCTAAGTGAAAATCGTGCTAAGTTACAAGCTCTTCAGGATTACTTGAATGCTAGTGTAGCCATGTTCGGTATGCGTTTTGCACCTTCAAAGTGTAAAATGTTACTACAAAACTGGGTTCGTTCAGCACCCAATCTCACCCTAACTGGGGAAGTAATAGAGTGAGTGGAGAAGTTTTGTTATCTGGCCAGCTACATATCATCT